TATCTATCTATCTATCTATCTATCTATCTATCTATCTATCTATCTATCTATTTATTGATCTATCTATCTAAACAATACTTGGTGAGGCTACATCATTCTTTTTAAAAATGTCTCTATAATACGTCAAAAGGGAGCACTAACAAAAATAAAGCTCAATTTAAGGCTTATTAAGCATCTGACCGGCATCCAGGGCACTTGTTTATCAACTGACCAGCAGACCAGTAGACATGAGACGGCAACTCCTAATCCAGTCCGGACTTAGCACAGCATCCCACATCTTAATACCCCCGAGTAGCCCCCCCAACCCCCCTAACCCACCGAGGGAAGGGGAACTGAAGCGTCTATTGTCTGAAACACAACAACAACTTGCTTACCGCTCTCTAGCTTAATGGAGGGGTTTGAGTAAGCAAAAAAACAAGCATATTGAAATTATTTTCCTTCAGAGGGTCGCTGGGTTGGGCCTCAGAGATTTAGTGCCTGGCTCAGTGGTCCTGGGGGGAGAAAGGAGCCGGTTGAGGTGGTTCAGACACCTGTTTTTTGGAAACGCCTCTCAGTTTCTTCCCTTTATATGATTTCAGGGAAAACCTCAGTTGGAAAAGATCCCAGGGCAGACCCAGAGCTAGACGGAGGGATTTTATTCCCACTCTGACCTGGAAAATGAGTCCAGAGTGGGTTGTTGTGGAAAAGAATGTCTGGGGTAGCCCCCGTGAACCCGTTTCCTCGGTTATCTGACCTCAGATATGTGGATAAAAATGGATAAATTGACGGAAATCCACCTCTGTATGTTGACATCCAATTAGACGAGCTTTGTAGGCTTGTCACATTTAATTCATTAAAAATTCTTCACGCTTGTTTGTTGTCTTTCAGAACTGCAACCTCACCACTTCCTCATGCTGACTCGGCATCTGCACGCCGGCAAACGGGGTCAAACCCTGGGAGCCGACATCCCGCAGACGAAGGATCACTCACAGGAAAAAAAAAAATTCAATCAGCACTTCTTATTTTGACTGTGAGTTTCATCCGAAAAGGGGTTTTATGTAGAGCAACGTTTTATGTGATGGCCACAGCTCAACTGGGCCATTTAAACTGGACCGATGTTCCTGTCCTAGTTTTTTTGGGGGGCTTAAATATGTGGAGCGTTGTGGACTTTGAAAAAAAAAAAAGCTTCAAGAAACTCCACAGCAGCCAACTTTCTCTGGTAGATACAGAAGGCTTTTCGTGGCGATTCTGTCAGATGACAAATACCAGGATTTGATCAGAGTGGAGCACAATTTAGAAACGTGACAACATACAACTGTAAAGCTGCTTTTTTGGGGATTCAGCTCTATCGACACTTTACTGACTGTGAGTATGCACAGAGTGACTGATCCCAGTTATTTAAAAGTTTGATTCTGTACAGTTTCAGGGTCTGTTTACACACAGAAATAAAAAAAAATTGGATTCGGTCAGACGACGACAATGTTTCCGCTGCTTTCACAAAATTAGCTCGCTCAAAAAAATGCCTTTTTGTGCATGAGTGATTCTATTTGGTTTCTCCAGCTTTCCCCTTCTGCCTGGAAACGTGCACGTTTAGCTAACCCGTGCCTCTACATTTACCAAAGGAGTGTTTTCTGTCTCAGTTTTAGACAGAAGGGAAGCCTGGCCAGCCTCTTACCTGCTCCTGTGACCCCAAACTGACTAGAATGGGCATTAAAAACATTTTTTTAAAGTGTAATATCGATAACATAGATTTTAATTTAGTTTAGATTTGACATAATGAAGCTACAAGTATGAATAATTCTATCAAATAAGAGGGAAATTTAGACATATTTCTGTAAAGATCAGTTCAGTTAGAGATCTGATCCAAAAGTCAACAGAGTGGAAAAAAATAGACTGTTTTTTTTAGTTGTGGGGTAACGATTTCTGTTCTGTTTCTGCTCGGGGAAACATGGTGGCAGCTGGCACGCTGCAGGTCACATCCCCAATGTTTTGTAGGCAGCGTGGACGACTGGAGCCATATGGCCGTCGGCTCCACGTGACGCTCCGCGATTGGATTAACCCCACACACACACACACGCACACACACGCATGTCCACACACACGCACGCACACACAGGCACACACACTAAACCCTGCCTGCTGTTCAGAATACTACCACGGTCAACAACAACAACACAGGACACTTCAACCTCCTATTGTCCACTGGCAGCCAGGTTCAGTTTTAAGACTTCATTTGGGATCATTCTCACATAGTAAGAAATCACTGTCCAGCTCAGAATTTTTTATTTTATTTTTTTGTCCAAGGCTGGTTTGTTACTGGGATGTTAGTGTAACTACCAAACAGTGAAATAAAATACTTGGATGTGTCCAAGAATATTAAACATTAATAATATTCTATCTCTTTACACTTCAGAGAGAATATATCCAGTTCTAATCAGGGATGCTCTGATAAATAATAAGCTTTAAGTCACACTTAAATAAAATAAAAGCATTTTAAAACTCCCTTTAACACAGATATCCATCCACACTGTTTATTCCCAGAAGGATCTCTGGTGCCTTTCACAGCTACTATTCAAATTGTTTTATGTAAATAGCTAATAAAAAATAATAATAAAGTGCAAAATTACCAAATATCTAATTATCATTTCACATTCTAATATATTCAGGATTGTATTCATCTAACTGAGACCTAATTCTATTACTGGTAGTTATCTATTTATTTGAACGTTGATCATTTTTAGAGTTTACTGAGATAAGACACGCTCAAAAGTTGAGACAGAAACAAGATTTTAGGTGACTTTTTCCCTCGAAAAAGTCACTTCCAGGTCACGTTTCTACACGCAGTGGAGGACATTTTGGGGTGAAATGGGTTTCAGGCAGTTACTCATGTGGGGCTATCCAGGACTGAAATGTCACGCGCGTCCAGCTATTCCGTCCTTGACCTTTGTACGAAATGGATCCCTCCATTTTTATGGGTTAGGGGGGTAGCATCGTGAATTTTTTCTGCTTGGGAAGATGGATTGTTTTTTACGACGAACCTCAGACCCGTAACCTGTCATTCCATCACTGCTTTCTGGTATTTGTCGTATCTTTTTCAGTCTTTCCGCAAAGAAATAGAAGAAAAATACCTTCTTTGTACTGTTTACTTTTTAGCTTTTTATGCGTTAACTATAGATTTTAGTTTGAATTGCATTTTATAAATCACAATATCTAAAAATACAGTTTATCTCACATTGAAATCTGGTTATTTTCATCCCTGTAGAATTATACAAACACTATCCACTGTGTTTGGAGAGTGTTTTTTGTGAAACTTTGCATCTTTTTTTATCACCAATCTATTAAATAGTAGCATCTTATGACTCTTCTGCTACTCACAGCACACTCATTGGGCTTCAAAGGCTCAATTCAGATCCTACTGGGGTCTACCGTTTGCTAAAATATGAGCATGACTGAGCGTTTTGGCAGAGAAAGAGGAGAGAACAGTTGTCGAACACAGCTGCAGGTTTAATTGGATACAGAGGCAGTCAACCAACCGCCGTGCTGCGGATCAGAGTGTCACCACAGTTCCATTTCACATCACAAAAGAGCAACAAAAAGACGGTCTGACCTGCCAAAAAACTGAGCAAAAACAGTGAAATGGAGTTGTTTGAGCTGATGAGACTCGTGTTATTGTTGGGGTTTGATCTAACGGCCGATTTTAGCCGAATATCACCGTACTTTACAGAGTCATTTATTGAACTTCCACGTTGTAAAGCCACGTTTGTGTTTAATTCTCTTTAGTCTCATCGAAAGCTGAAGCTGAAAAGACCCAAAGTTGCCCCGTTTTACATGCATTTACCACAAAAACCAGGTTTGATGGTTTCACTCGTGCGGTAATATAACAAGGAAAGCAATGCGGCAAACCACTGAGGAACCCAGATAGTGGAAAAAGAAAACTGCTGCTAGCATGAAAACAGTCCAGTTCAAAGGTGACAAACGGAAGAGGATCAGAATCACGTCTGTGGTTCTTTTTTGCCCGAGGAATACTGAAATACCACTTATAATATATCTGTATGACCTTGAGCAGTGTGTGTGTGTGTGTGTATATGTCTGAGAGAGAGAGTGTGTGTTTCTGGTCACTGTGGCAACAGTTACCAAGCAGCACATTGAGCTCCACTGAGGCTGCTTAAAAGATGATGGGGAGTATAATAAGCAGGGCGTTCTGCCTTTTTTTACCCGAGGCAGGTGGGAACCGTACCGCCACACTTTCTGCCCTCACGCAAGTCTGGAGTCCACACACACACACATCTGTCACAAATACAGACACACAGACGGTACAAGCTTCCTCCGTTTGTGCTGTAAAGGCATCGTGATGTGGAAAAGTTCCTTTTAAAGAACAATGACAGAGTCTGTAAACGGGGACTCCGGTTAGAGAAGTTCAGCCCACAGCTTCCTCCTCGATCAGGCCTTTATTTTTTTTACCTTCGCAAGTTCCTCTCTGACTAGTAATAACGGGAGAAGAGACGTTCAAATCTGACGAATCACAGCGTGAGCGTGAGGGGATGACCTTCGTTCTGCTGGACGCTTCCAGCCTCTGCAGGTCCAGTAAAAAAAACAGGAGATCCGAGACACTCCGGAGTTCCAGACTCAGACCAGGGCCCCCCCACTCTGAAATCTAACCTGAGCTTTTTACAAGCCAAGCTAGGACGGAAAACACTCGTTTTGCATAACAAGAACCCACCTATTTCTAATAAAGACAGCAGTGTGACTGAGATTAATGATGAAGTTAAAGAAGCTCCAGAAGAAAAATAACGAGGACAAGTACTGGCCCACCACCTTAACTGTGTTAAGAAGCATTAAACACTGCTTTTTCTTGCACAAGTCAGTTCCAAAAATACTCATCCCAGAAGATAAATGTAGGGTAATTCAGTCTGAATTGGGGAAAAACCATTACAGTGGATGTGTCTTGACTGATTTGCAAAGCCTCAAACTGACATTTCCATCAATCCTGGCTTGACAAATGCATTTTGTGTGTCACTACAACAAGACCTGTAACTTATTGAGGTGTTTTTATCATTCTCAGTGAGATAATTCCATTGAAATGTGCACCAGAATGAATCACTTATTCTGTAAACTAAGCAAATGTATATATATTTTTTAAGATTTTAGCAAATAAACCAATAAAAACTGGTATCTGTTTGGTGTTTTCTGGTTCTCAAATGCATTTTACCAGCCTGAAATCAACATTAAAGCCAAATAGACTCAGAAATCCAGAGAAAACAGAGAGACTTCTGTCACGTTGAGCAGAGCCAATCTGTGAATTAAAAGTTGTGCGTAAGGTCCATATGGATTTCTGCAAGCCCGGATTTTTAACAGAAGAGCTCGTTTAGGTTCCACTCACCGGCATCATATTGGCTGATCTCCGCTCCGTGGCGTCCTCTCTGTGCCTGAGCCCCTTAAATCCTCATCCCTCCTCCGGTCCGACCTGCTGCCATCACAGGATGACTGTTTTCTGCAAATGTCTCCTCCTATTGGACCTGTTGCAGTCGGCTTTAAAAGGTTTGTCCTAATCCTGCACGGGTGCGAAAAGATGATGCTTTTAGGGAGAAGATGGTGGGGAAAATGAGTGGAAAGGGGATGCGTAAGAGGGTGTGAGGTGCGTAAAAAACAAAGCCCGGCGGTCTGGAGCTGGAGATGAGCTCTAATCCTGCTCAGCATCCGCGATCAGCCAGACTGAGAGGCTCTTTGGACCATTCAATCAACGCGCACCGGTCATAAAGTGGAGTGTCGCCGCAAAGAAACAACTTCCGGCACGTTTTTTTTCTCCAAAATAAATCACAATCTAAACATGCGTCCATCCATCCATTATCGTAACGGCTTTTTCCCTAATGGCGTCCTGGGGAGAACTGGAGCCTATCCCAGTGGTCAACGGACCGTCACCCTGGACGGTCCCCGGTCCATCACAGGGCCACACAGAGACACACAACCACACATACTCACATTCACTCCTAAGGGTAACTTGTAATTAAACACACACAAGGAATAGACAATGGATGAATGGAATTTCTGCAAGCAAACGGTAATTCCAGCAAATCACGTCCATCCATTAAACAACGACCACCGATTTAAAATCACCTTGGAGCTAGGCTTTTGTTTTGAAACCGGAAGTTCTCAATCGACTTCCTGAAGTAGCTTCTTGGGAGAACATGGACACACGTGGACAACGAGACTAAAACATCACATTTACCAGCGCTTACAGGTACAGTTGTATTTAATTTAGCTCGACTACGTAAATATGTAATGCTAAAAAACATCTTAAGCTATAATTATCGCGATAATTCAGGACTTCCGGGTTTGACAGACCGCCACAGCACTCCTTCGGCTTTAGCAAGATTAAAATTTTTCAAACTGTTTATTCAAGTGTTTATAGAACTCGTAATGGGAGTTTGAACTCTTATATGATAGTACAGTTATGTTGGCATGTCTGTAATTGGCATAACAACCAGTTAATACTATAAAACGGAATTGTTTACAAGGTAATAAATCCATATTGTTATATCAAAATTAGCTTTGTTCGCTAATTTAAGTCAGTTTGCTGTTAAAAATACGGGCTAATTGGACACTAGAGTGGCCTGTACAATAGAGAAAGATGTCTGTGTTTGATTTTAGTTACGCATTTTGATTTTTTTTTTACCTAAAGGTCTCAACAAACCACCTGGCTGAGGATGAAAGGCAGAGAGAAGCAGAAACGGACACTGCTGACCAACAATATGGCCAGCAGTGATGAAGACTCGGACGTAGAAAAGAACTATGCCCTATTACTCAAGACAGGAGGCCCGAGTGGAGGACTGGGTGATGACCGTTACCACAGAGGAGCAGAGGAGGAGGAGGACGAAAAGGAAGATGAGGAAGGGTCTGACAGTGGGGAGGAAGACTCTGACGGTGGTGAAGCAGAAGAGGAAGACGAGGAAGGGTCCGACGGCGGGGAGGAAGACTCCGATGGCGGTGACGTAGAAGAGGAAGACGAGGAAGGATCGGAGGATGAGGAGGAGGAGGATTCTGACGACTGTGAGGAAGATGAAGAGGGAAAGGGAGAAACCTTGGAGCCCTCTGTGGAGAATGATGATGATGATGATGATAATGATGGGGACGGTGAGATTAAGACCAAAGAGGACATCAGAAAAGGTGAGAATGCGCCCAGCTCCCGGATTTAGTTTTCTTTTTAACATTTAAAGGCGTCCCCACTCTTGTTATGGTACATCCATTAAGTTTCACTGTCTCTCTGTCCGTTTCCCTCTGTGTCCACTCGCCTCCACAGAGCTGTCCAGCATGTCCTTCGAGGACATCATGAAGCTCCGGAGCAAAGTCGGGACCAAAGCGTACGACGAGGTGGCCTACGGGGGCGCCGAGAGCCGAGCGGCCGGCAAGAAGAGACGCCTGAACAAGAACAGGTGAGCGCCAAGCCCGCCTCCCCTTTTTTTTCGGGGTGCGAAATTTCTCTGAAAAGTTGTCAGCCCTGACCAAAAGCAGCGAGCCCGATTGGTACTTTTCTGTCACTTGGGTTCATATTCGTGCATGTTCGGAAATCAACATGCAGAAAAATGGTCTGTAAGCAGATCTCCTGGAACGCTGTGGTCTCTGTGCTATAATATAATATTATTTTTTAAAAACGTTTTCAGTTCCTCTCGCTTGGCGGCGCAACCACGTCATGCCTCCAACGATTTCATATAAATGATGATAAACTGCAATGTAACATGGCGGGACGATGGATTTCAAACGAAAAACTCTTTTTTTTTTGTTGATTCCCTGTTAATTTTGAATGTTTTTTATATAGAAACTTAATTTGCCAACCCATCATGTCAGTACGACAGGCTAACTTTTGATTTCTTCTATCAGCACGCGCAGCTGGTGGGACGTTATAGACACATGTTCCAGGTTGTTGAGTGTCTGTCTGTGTGTGTGTGTGTGTGATTTTCAGGCCGATGGAGATCTCGGCTAAGAGGCCGGCCCCCTTCCTGCGCCAGGTCGTCCCGGTCAAGAAAGCGGTGAGTAAAGCGCGCCTCTGGTTAGAGGTTGGGTTGTCAAAAGTATCCATACTCAAAAAAGCATGGTTACTAAAACGTTGTAACCGGATACGATACTTATTTACAAAAGTATTACTTGCATTGCTAGCTGCGGCTAATGGCTAATAATAACATGCCAACATTAATTAAGTCTGGAATTAATGTTGGCATATCATATATATTGATATGTTTTATCCATATATGACAAACATATCAAATATGTGGAATTCAAAAGTACAGTGGGTGATCACTGGAAAGATGTCTTTTGTTTTTGCATTTAATTCAGATTAATTAGATTTTTGCAAACATTAGACGAGGAGTAAAGGAACTGCAGGAAGCCAAGGATAGATATCCAACTCCGCCCACATCCAAGTCAGCCATTTTGATTACTTCACCAATAGTTCCCAAAATTGGAATAGCTTCACGGCAATATACACATTAATTTAAAAATAGTGAAATTTATCTTGCAAACGCTGAATTCAACTCTATACATAATATTATGTTAAAATAGTGGATGTTAAATAGGTTTGTACAATAAGTCCAAACAAGTTTAACCAAAAAATATTTATTTTTCACAATTATGAAGGATGGAGGGTCAGGGTTAGGGTCATTAATGCGGGCCTATGGCCACGATAGCATCTGTAAAAGGTCAGTTTGAAACGAAAGACACTAACCAGTCAAAATTCTGTAAAAATGTTGGGGTCTGTTTTTATCCTTGTGGTATCGAAAATGGTATTGAGTATTGAATATTGTATCGGTATAGAGTTAAACATTTTAGTATCGTGACAACCCTAGTTTGAGGACAAGTCCAGTGACAGGAAGTGACCGTCTTCCTGTTCCTTTTGCCACAGACTCTGAGAGATCCCCGCTTTGACGACCTGTCCGGGGAGTACAAACCGGAGATTTTCGAGAAGACGTACAAGTTCATCAACGACATCAAGCACAAAGAGAAGGAGGTGAGCGGCCGGCCGGGGTTTGGGGGGGGCGGGGAGAAACGCTGAGCCCTGCTCTGCTCTGCCGCTTTGTGAGAAGGGAAGCTGAGGACTCGTTTTCGTTTGTGCGCAGACCATTCAGAAGCAGCTGAAGAAGTCCAAGAAGAGCGTCCAGCAGAAGGAGAAGCTGCAGTTCCTGCTGAAGAGAATGGTGAGAACCCCTCCGTTCTTTGAAACCCAATGGTTTTCAATTGAATTTTATTTCTACAGCGCCAAATCACAACGACAGTTGTCAACAGGGTGGCATCCTTTGAAACCCAATCGTATTCAATTCAATTAAATAAAATTGTATTTATATAGTGCCAACTCACAACAACAGTTATCTCCCAGCGCTTTCCAAACAGAGCAGGTCAGACTAGGGAGGTCCCGATCTAGCTTTTTTCACTTCCGATACCGATACCGGCCTATAAGAGCATGTGTTAAAGTTTAAAGTTATTTAGCCTACTTACTTAATTAGTTGTCAAACTCACGTTGAACAGGGATTTACTCTTATAAAAACTAGCCAGCTGAATTAGGCGAGTTCGAATAATACACAATGGCTGGTAAAGAGGCACTGAACAGTTTTTTCAGGGATAAACACAAAATAGGCAAAATTATACATACACGTACATATAAATCACAAATGGAAATGGCATCAGTGAACAGTAAAAAGTTCAAATAATATTTATTTTTTATTTAAAAAGGCAAAACGCACAAGCAACCTAAAATAGAAAACAGTCTATTAACTTAGTATATGTAATGGATTATTTTTTAAAAACTGGATCTGTGTTTTCTCATGCCGGCAGATAAGCTTTTCTTCTTTTTTTTTGTTGCAAATATTGGCGGCCAATCCAGTTTGGTTTGCACGCTTCTTTTTTTGGTTTTCTTCCCCCTTATCCTGTTCAGCATCATGGCAAGTAGAATGAATTTCTGACGGCCGTAGTTGTGCCAGACAGATTTACTTTTTCAGCCAGGGCCTGGCCCTGGGGGGACGGTTATTTGTAAAGGAAGGCTTTGGAATACCTGTGGAGAGACAAAACTAGCGAGCAACAGAACGCAGACGGCAAAAACACCCGAAGCAGAACGTCCGACAGACACGTTTCTGAGGGAGTTCAGATTAAATGTTCCACCCCCCCCTTGCAGGAGAACCAGGAGCGAGCCAGGGAGATCCGGGAGCAGCAGAGAGAGAGGGAGCTGCAGTTCAAGAGGGAGCAGAGGGAGCGAGCCAACCAGGGCGCCCGGCCGTTCTTCCTCAAGAAATGTAAGTGCCCGAAACTTTTAAAATCCAGTTTCAGTTGTTTCAAAAGCTAAACTGATTGAAATATAATTTAAAAACCTTTTTCTCTAGACTTCGCTGCGTCTTTTTTAATGAAATCAAATCAAAAGGGCTCAAAATGACACGCATAAAACGTCTAAAACGAGCTAGATTTCTAGAGAATATCGTTTAGAAAATCTTTTCCAATTGTGATATGATTAAAACTAGTTCAGATTGATGAAACCCGACCGAATCGGATCAAAACTTTTCGACTGATCTGTGTTTGAACCCAAATTGAGCTCGATCTGTCTCGTTGGGGAAACCTCTACACGCTAAAACGCGCTAAAAGTCTTTGCTCAAACGTCTTTTCTCTCCCCGCAGCCGAAAAGAAGAAACTCCAGCTGGCCGACAAATTCCAGGAGCTGAAGAAGAGCGGCAAGCTGGAGAACTTCCTGAGCAAGAAGAGGAAGAGGAACGCCGGGAAGGACCGCAGGAAGCTGCCCGGACAGCAGCAGAGGCAGGACGCCCCCCGGGGCAGCCGGTGACCCCAGCAGGACGGTGGGAGGAGGCCGACCAGCCACCTGTCAGACATGGCATTTGGACACGTCGGGATTCCGAAAAAAATATCAAAAGCGGTCGGGAATTTCCGCCTGTCGGAAAAGACAAGCGGACAGGTGACTTGCCGGTCATTTCCCGACTGACGGAACCTTCTGCGGCCACCTCCATGGACACACACGCGATGGAAGTTTTTAAGCTCGGACACTAAGGGGGGGGGAGTAAACTCAGACCTCAATAGCTGGCCAGATGTTACCAGATCTGAGAAATGTTCATTCTAATAAACACAAACATGCTAACAGTGATGATAACATAACAGTTTTTTTTGTCTATGTGAGCTTGAATTTCAAATCCATTTAGGATTAAAACGTCATCCGGAATGTTCCCTTGATCGCTGGCTTTCAGATGTCTTCCAGATTGTGGAGTCGTATCCCTTTTTTGCCACAGCACCAACTAACAACAAGCAAAGAAACAGCATAATCCGGGTAAATAAGACGAATGCTCTTAAAATAACTCGCCAGAGAATAGAAGAGAAGAGCTCCCTGAGACTTTAAAAGGGGGGCGGTTATAGTGTCCCGGGTGCAGTGTGTTCAGCCACCAGCAGGGGGAGCCACAGGGGAGGACACGGAAGCCCCCCATCCCTCGTGAGGGGGTCCGCCCACCGCCCTGATTTTTGACGTCTTCATCGTTTAATCTGGGTTACCGAAATGTGTCCACGTCGATTTGTGAGGTCCCAAAATGGGGGGGAAACTCATCAGTCTGTCCCTGCAACCGAAAAGGAACAAACTAGGTGGGGCCAGGTCGGGTTCTGTGTTTTAACAGGGAGGGGTACCCAGCCGGTAGTCTTCTGACATGAGGAAAACCATCCCTGAGCCCCCTCCTGTCCACACAGGTACTGGGACAGGAATTGGCTTCCAGCACAGTGTTTCTTTCATCATTAAGCTAACAGCAATTTATTTAATCGCATAGTATATTTTGTGTTCTGAGGTCAACGCAGATCTCTCGTTTTTTTTGTTTTGATTGTATGTTTTATCTGCTGTGCGAGCTTGTTTAATGGGTGGCCTGTATAAAAAACTAAATGTAACCTCCAGTGTGCACCCAGGTTTAACGCAAAGTGGAATATAATTAATCACAAACTTCAACTGAGGCTTTCGGAAATGTCCTTTATTTCGTTGATACTCTGGCACTCAGGAGTTTACCCACCTCAGGGCTGCGGATGGAAGCCGGGGGGGGGGCCTTTCCCGACAGCCTTCACATGGAAAGAACCACACGCCGCAAAATTCATAAGATGGAAATAACAGAAGAGCAACACACTCATCCTGGCATCAGTTTATCAGTTTATTTTTTAACCAACATGTAAAATCCAATTAGTAAAAAACTTTTAACATCCATCCATCCATTTTCGTAACCACTTATTTCCTCAGGGAGAACTGGAGCCTAACCCGGTAGTCAATGGGCGAGAAGCGGGGTACACAGAGACACACAACCACACACACTTACTCCTAAGGGCAATTTGGAACGTCCAATCAACCTACCATGCAGGTTTTTGGACGGTGGGAGGATTCTACACAGAAAGGTCCCGGTTACCCCGAGGACTCCAACCCAGAACCCTCTAGCTGTGAGGTGATGGTGCTAACTACCACACCACCCTCTCTTCTAACGTGTCCAGACAATAAAGCCCTACTCTCGCCATTAGCTTCAGTCCCCGCAAATCTTAAGAAGAGTGGAAAAGGTAGGCATACAGAAGTAACGCTTTCATTCTCTGTAAAGTTAGCGCGTAGCTGCATTGAACTGTCCACGAATGGCTAATCTAGCTAAACGACGTTCAACATATGTTCAGGAATGAACAGGTAAAGAGAAAGATTTGTGAGTGACTGTTTTCCGTCTGTTTTTCAGTCCTTTGTAAAAGAAAGGATTAAACAATAAAAGTCAGAGTATGAGGAAATTGTGTGTGTTTCATTCTAACTATTTTGTCTTAGCTTGGCTCTTTTATTCAATTAGCAGTGTCTGACAAGAAGCCGCGGCTGAGTTTCCTGAATCCCGTTTTTCTCTCTCTGCTCTCTGACAGGTGGCATTCACTAGTCTCACACCCCGCGACAACACAAGACAAATAATCGGGTGGGGGGGTTGGGGGCCGTAATACGGGGTACTAAATTCATGAGCTGGTAGATCCTACACGGCATCCACCACTCCCCAAAACCCTCCGTCACTCTCCAGCTCCGCTTTTGTGCGGCTGCTGTTTTTAAATGACTGCCCATTGTTGCCTCTTTAAAAAGATTTTTATTGTGTGTGTGTGTGCGTTCGTGTGTGAGAGAGAGAGAGAGTGTGTATACACGAGAAGAGAAACTTCTATTTTCTCCAACAAAAATATCCTCATTTGTAGGAATCGTTGTTTATTAAATATGGAACGAAACTGTTGTTTTGGAGGAAAATCTAACTGTTATTAGCGGTAAAGTATCACATTAATGGAGGCTTTTATGCTTCAGACAAGCTGATTTCTTGCTAACAGATTTCGTGGAAGTCCACAACGACTACATTTGACATTTTTTGAAAGAGTTTTGAGCCATCATGTGAACCATCAGTTTATTTAAAAATATTCCTCCTGCCAGAAGAACTATACATGCCATTTCTTGCCCTTTTTCAGACGATATTGAACAGTTTTCTGTCTCGTCTTTTTAACTGGCTCAACCAGACAGTCACAAACATATCTGGAAACTGGAAATGATGTGCACTGCCAGTTTTGCTAGCTTACGGGACAGAATTCCGTACGTCTTTAGACACAAACTTGACTCTACAGGATGGGTCTGTGGGGGATTTTTTGGATCAACGGTATCATTGTTTCTTGATAAGAAAATGACCGTTAACAGACTCTACTCCCCAGGTGAACAAAACCCTACGAGGTTTCTATCCCTCTTCGGCTATCGCCGACGTTTTTTCGCCAGTTTCCAATCCACGTTTCGTCTCTCATTCCGATTCACGGCCTCTCCGGGCGGCCATTGTTCCCGCTTAGACTCCCGGCATCATGAATAGCCAATAAAGAGCCTGTTGCTCCACGGTGGATCTCCGCAGAAGAAAAGGTGCTCGGAGCAGCACTGATGGCCTCCGTATAGCCCCCAGTGTATCAACCATCTGTTCACACGGATCCCCGCTTGCGACGTGAAAAGGATAATTGAGTGTTTTAAAGAGCGGAGAATAGATCCCCCTCTGCCGCTGATTTGTATTCTTTAGAAAAAGAACCAGGGGTTTCACACCACATCTGCCCCCTTTAGCTCCGTGCGTCCCCATTCACCGTGCCATCAATTACCACACTCAATTAAGCCCTCATAATCCTTTTATCGCCACACAAGGATTTCAATCCAACACCACGCCTGCCACGGAGAAGTGGCAACAAATGAGACTTTAGTGACTGTTTTCTTTGGGGAAGAGGGAGGGGAAACGGTGTCAGCAAGGGTTCTTCAGGCCCCTCCATGAGAAGATTCGATGGTTGAAAAGCCGAGGGGAGGCCGCAGCTGGCAGCTAGCAGCTAGCAGCTAGCGTGAGCTCCCCTGCTCTCTGTTCGTCGGGGGGGGATTGTTCCGGAGATTACGAGCTGCCTTTTCACTGAGGCCGTTACGATTCGTGAAAAGAGAAATTTGAATGAGCGGGCACATGCAGGCCCCGCGTGAAAAGGAGCTGTGAAAACGGGCTAAATGTTAGCTATGTGGCACCGCGGATGAAAAAGAGTTAAATATTAGACCCGGTGCGATCACAATGGTTCAGACAAACAGCAAAATAAAATAACTTCCCCTTGCTAAAGGACAAAAATATTTTCAAGTTTTCATATCCTTTGGAAAAGACCCCAAACAGATTAGTGGTTTGACCAGTTCAGATCATTTTAGCCTGTGTTACTGTTTGCCGTTCTAAAAATTTACTACAGAGTCAAATAAAAACATTCGTGGAATAATCAAATCTGTAGTTTCTTTATTAAGGAATCAGACAGAGATTCAGTACATCTTCACAACGGTTGCATCATTACAGAGAGGATTCTTACCTCAACTCCACTGAACATTTTTGGGGCTCCCAAAGATGGGGAAACTACTCATACCTGAGATACAACATATACTGTATATTATGTTATATTTTGCACAACAAAAAAGCATCATTTGTCTTTTTATATTTATATCTAATATTGCCTACGGGAAATAAAAAAGAAGTTTTCAGACAGTGTCTTTTTTTGGACAAAACTAGTTTAATAGTTTCTTTGTTACATATAGGTTTACCCTAGATATGAAGAACATACATTAGTTTAATTTTGAGATGGGAAAAAAAAAAAGAAAAAAAACGACTCAGTGCTAATTTAGCTATCCATCACCATAGAACCTAATTATGCCATTCAGGAAAAGTAACAGTAATACATTTGTAAAATGATTTCTGAATGTATCAATAAATCAAAATTTTGAAGCAGAAAATAACAAAATAGAACGATATAGAAATAAACTGGCATTTGGTGACCCACAACAGTTAAGTCATCCTCTCACACCCATTAAAATAGTGTAAAAATGCTGCTGAATAAAAATAAAAAAGTTCCAAACATACACACAGCGCCTTGAGAAAAGATTTCAACACACAGCATTAAAGCACTATAATTGTTTTTATAGTTTGCCTCTTGTAGCCATAAATGCTCGTGACTCCATAAATTTGGGGAAAAGCTGTCCAGACCTTTCATCAGAGCAGAGTGTCGAAACACAAGACAAGAGTCTGTTAGAAAGGCTTTAAAAATTTTTAAAAAAAAGGACGATGACAAACATCTGAATGCAGCATCGAATAATACTCGTTTTCTAATGAATTCTCAATTAAATCAAACTAAATACGTAATCCTTATCACATATTATCCTCATAATTTGAACTAAATCAGTGTTAAACCTGTTGTTTTCCATAATCTGAGATACTATTTGAACAGCTATTTGGTTTTTCTCGTTGTCAGAGAGGATGCTGTTGTGGTGGAATGGTATTCATCAGGTGTCACCTGCAAAAATTAGGTCCATAACTTATTTTGCTGTGGCTTTACAGACTCTGGTGATCAGATATCACTACTTTTTAGAGTGGAAATACCAACACTGGATTCCCTGAGTGAATCGTTAAATTTATCTGTTTTTACCAAGTGGTGTTGGAAGTCATTTTCAAATAAATTTTTTAAAGACAGGCTGCAGCGCATGTCATTTTTATCTGTAAAAAATAATCATTTTAGATATGTTTCTCCTTCTATGATGAGAACAATAATCTCCTCTCAGGACTTCCCTCTTTTGTGGGTGATTATGTCATCCACTTTACTCAGAATCCGTCATGTAGGATTATTAGATGACATCAAAGTGAGTTTGTTATGGTGGTTATTTTATGGTGGCAACGATAAAAAAGGGGGAACAATCTGAGGAATGGGTTCAGAGCGTACTGGACTCTTTGCACGGTTCATTAAACACTCTGGAAACCCCTCACGAATCGGAATAAACCGACCCA